TCAACAACAACACCGACAACAAAAACTTCATACAACATAGACAACAACAACTTTATCTTCATCATCATCATCTCATCATCATCATCAACATCATCATCATCAACAGCAACAACAACAACAGCAACAACACCATAGAAAAAATTATCGAAAAACACAACCTCTGTAAAAGCAGGGAAAAATCTACAGTTACTACTGCCCGACCACAGCCACAACTACCACAGCTACCACAAGCACTACTACCATAACTACTACAGCCGCCACAAACACAACCACCACTACTACAAAATCGTCAGCATGTACGCCGCACGCTCGACAAACTACAGTCCGACCAACAATGGAAAGAAACCATCAAGAGCCAACACTTTCAAGCTAGGTGTGTTCTTTTTCATTATTTGCCCGTCATTACCGTTGTCATTTTATCATCATCATCATCATCATCATCATCATCATCATCATTATCATCATTATCATCATTACCACCACCACCACCACCACCACCACCACCACCACCATCATCATCATCATGGTCATCATCATCATCATCACCACCACCATCATCATCATCTTCATCATCATCATCATCATCATCACCACCACCATCATCATCATCTTCATCATCATCATCATCTTCTTTTTCATATTTTTCTTCATGCACTCATATTTCGCTAATTTGAAGAGAATTTATTTTCAACATTTATTTGCTACGCATGCAAAAAAACATTTGTATAATAATGTATACAAAAATAAACAAACACACGCACACGTATGTTCGCGTTTGCCTGTGTGTGTGTTTGTGTGTGTTAGATGTGCGTGTGTTTTTGTGTACTGGCTCAGCTCATATGTATCTAGTAAATAAAATGAATGAATGAATAAACGAATGCTTGAATGCTTGAATGAATGAATGAATGAATGAATGAATGAATGAATGAATGAATGAATGAATGAATGAATGAATGAATGAATGAATGAATGAATGAATGAATGAATGAATGAATGAATGAATGAATGAATGAATGAATGAATGAATGAATGAATGAATGAATGAATGAATGAATGAATGAATGAATGAATGAATGAATGAATGAATGAATGAATGAATGAATGAATGAATGAATGAATGAATGAATGAATGAATGAATGAATGAATGAATGAATGAATGAATGAATGAATGAATGAATGAATGAATGAATGAATGAATGAATGAATGAATGAATGAATGAATGAATGAATGAATGAATGAATGAATGAATGAATGAATGAATGAATGAATGAATGAATGAATGAATGAATGAATGAATGAATGAATGAATGAATGAATGAATGAATGAATGAATGAATGAATGAATGAACGAATACTTAAATGAAGGAATGAAAGAATGAATGAATAAATAAATATAGAAAAGTATTTATGTGTATTTTTATTATATATTTGAAAAAATAATATAGTTAGCCATCAAAATGGCTAAAGACAACATTGAAGTTACATTATGTTGATCGTTCATTTATTTGGTCTCCCTCCGACCAACACTAAGAGTTTTGTTAAGATCGTCATCGTGGGCGTAAAAATTTAATTTTTGTTTCATTTCTTTCCTTTTTGCATTCCCATTAATACTGGCAATGTGAGAAACCTTTCCTTAATAGGAAGTTTGTTTTTGCTGGAGTTATGGTTGCCTGTGCATCAGTTAAGTACTGGCCACGGATTCCTACACAACAATTAGTGAAGTAGTACATGAGGAGGGTGCTTATGGCGCTGCTGTGTTCACTTTTATCGTGCAGCGTTTACCAATTGTTATCCTTGTAATCATTTTCTCTGATATAATATCCATGCATATATTAAGGAAAATTTAAAAATCCAGTGAGATGAAGTTTAATGTTGGTCAACTTGAATGAAAGTTCTTCATCGCGTTAAATATCAATCAGCCAATTTGTTAAAAAATATATTGAGGTAGTAGTTTCAATGAAACGAAAAAACTATGAAAATGACAACAATGATGATAATTACAACATAACAGCACCTTATATTTTGCAGTTGTGCTGATAACTGCAGGTAGGTTGCAAACTGTGAATAAAAATGAGTAATTTCTCCACTTTAATTAAACTTGTGTACGTGTGCAGTTGTGTGTTAACTCGTCTCACGCAGATGGAGATGGAACTGGAGATAACTTATGTAAATAGATTGTAATCACTTCTGTAATGAAATACGCTGAACAAATTAATTTTTTCTATCTATAAACATCGCGAACATTTGTTCATTTCCAATGTAATATTCTTCTATATTTAAAAATAAAAATGTTTCCATTACTTTTTCTCACTCAAGGATAATGTAATGTAATGTGTTAATATTCAATGAACAGCCTACAACACACACACATACATTGATATTTTACGATCTCATGTTTAAATTTGATGTTGTTGAGGCTATGTTGTTTTTGTAGCTATGTTGTTGTTGTTGCTTTGTTGTTGTTGTTGCTTTGTTGTTGTTGTTGTTGTTGCTTTGTTGTTGTTGTTGCTTTGTTGTTGTTGCTGTTTTTGTTGGTTTGTTGTGGTTGTTGTTAACTGCATCTCCTGCAACATAGGATGCAATTGCTTCCCTGACATAAAAAGTCACTAATTGTTTGCAATTTTTCAAAAATATGACCTACACAAACGGGACTGACTAACTTTTTTTTAAACTTTATTCAGTTGCAACTAAAAATAGAAAAAGTTTTGTTACATTCAGAGATTACTTTAAAAATAATTAACCCAAAATGCACTTGATTCGGTCAATAAAATAAAGTTAACCGTTTGTGATTACATTATACTGTTTAGTTACATTACATCAAAGCCAATTAAATTACAACAATAAAAGTTAACATTTTATCTCTTATTGTTACGCCTATCTATGCATTGTAAGCAAAACTCTTCGTCATAAAAAACACATTATTGTCTGAGTTACATTGATTTTTATGTGCAGTTTTCCAAGCTATTCCTGATTTATTTAATGGCAAGTGAAGTAAAGAAATTATTTCTAAGAAGAAAAGAGTTTCAATGACCACTGAATTATTAACTGCACTCTGGAATAAACCTAAACCATGATTTATATACAACTATTGTATTTGCAATAATAAATATATGCAATATAATGAATCTTCGGATAACAATACTTTTAAAATAAAAAATTCTTCTTCTTTTTCGTGGTTTATCCTGTCAGAACGTTGGCGACCATTGACTTTCACAAAACCCGATCTTTAACACTTTGTAGTAGTTGAAATGTGGTGATGTTGAACAAGTGACACAAGGACTTCACGAATGTTATTCGTTGTTGACCGCGATCTCTTTTCCCTGCAATCTTTCCAGTAGTTGTTAGAACACTGACCCCGTCGGATTATCTGTAGTAAGTTCCTCTTTTCATAACCGGACTGTTTTAATAAATCCCCATTTGAAGTATGAGAGGTTCAACTAATTTTCATAATCTTTTTCTAAAACGAAATCTCAGCAGCGTTAATCTTTTGTTCCATTTCGTTAGAAATAATAAGTTGAAACAGTAAATAATTTGTAAAGATAAAGTTTATTTTCAATTTGCTTTCGTCATTGTTGCAGTTCCTTTGGGTTTTTGAGGGCAATGATTTACTAGAGATTTTGTCTTTTTCAATCCTTTTTTATGCACATTATTGTATGTGAAAACAAACAAACAAATAAATAAACGAATGAATGGATGAATGAATGAATAAATGAATGAATAAATGAATGAATAAATGAATGAATAAATGAATATTAACGATAATTACGTATACATAGAAGGAAATAATTATGGGCTATTAAGAGATGCCTCATTTTCTGCAAAGAATTGCAAGGGCCGTCAATCACTTTCAACTTTCGATTTTTTTTACAATTCTCTCTGCAAAATCTTCAGAGGCATCCGCCACAAAGGCAAAGTGCATGCAAGAACACGTGAATCAGCAACGCACATATTGCATGCGATTGACAGGAATTGCTTTGAATTCGAACCTGGTTATTGCAGCACCAGTACCAGTCATTTTAACCACTACACCACCATGTCATTTAATTTTCATACAAAAATTTCTAGATACCTGGATCTCATTTTTCGCCGTGAATGATGAATCGTTAATAAAGAGTGGCGTTTAGCTTTCGGCGTTTAGCTTTTGGTTATTTGATCTTCAACTAATCATGGTGTTTTTATGTTTTTTGTGAAGATTTGTTGTTATTACGTTTAAGAGCCATATGCGATGTGGTTGTTTTTTATTATTTAGGTTCGTTATGAATGTTGTTTGTGTTGCTGGCTGCAATTACGACCTGCAAAAATAAAATTACGCTCAATTACTGCTATTAAATCTATATATATATATATATATATAAAACTTTAAACTTTCATAAAAATTTAATAAATGTTTTTGCATGGCGTGTAATGGTTTTTGAATTGTTGAATTGATTGAGTTGGCATGTTCTGGTCTGATTATCATTTAATGACTCTCAAACGTTCCTTTCAAGCATCAGTCAGTGCGTGCATTTAAATCATTTTAATTTTTTCACTTAATTAATTAAACCTAATTTTTATCTACAAAAATGTTTGAAAATTTTAAGTTTTTAACTAAAACTTTCCATGATTTTGCATGTAATGAATGATTGATTTGTTAGCAACAATTTTAAATGATGTTTATAGAATTTTGAAAAAGATTTCAAAATAATTAAAAAGTTGTTCAAGGTTCAAAACTTTACAAGAACTTTTTGAAATTCAGCAGAAACAAATATGTTTCGAGGTCCTCAAATTAGGACAAAACGGAGTGTTGAAATATTGAGGCATCCAAAAGAGTGTTTGTAAAATTTTGATTTATCTCAATTTAAAATGTTACGTTTTCAAATTAACTGAAAGATTTGATTTGTTTTTGAAAGTACAAACTTGAAAATGTTCACGTACAAAAAACCACATTGCGTGAAAAAGAAGATAACAAGAAGTGAATGTTGCGATGTAGCAACAAACAAGTAGTTGAAGTTTGTGCAAATGTTCATAAATAATTCAACAGTTGACAAATTTGGATGTAAGTGCTGAGCGTTCATGAACAATAAAAGTTTAAAAACTATATAAACGTTCAAAGCAAATATAGTAGAAATACAAATAATGAAAATCGGAAATGGCAATAATATAATATTAACATTATTAACAATTCACTTAAGTATATTTTTCTGGCAAACTCCTATCCTCTAACTAAAATGAAGATAACATTGATGCAAACTTAAGACACTTAGGATCAGATACGATCCGATACGATAGGACACTTGAAGATATGAAAATTGTTTAAAATAATATAAAATAATAAAAGGTTGTAATGATACTATTAAGTAAAACTTACGAGAATTTAATTAAATGGGAAATTGATTGTCGACAGTGAGCAGAGAGACGGAGGACATATCGTACAGCAGACCTCACATCAGCAAGTTGGAGGACCTAGTGGAGAGCACCAAGTTCAGCAGTGACGAGATCCGAACTTTGTACAGGGGCTTCAAACAGGTTTTTACCTCTTTTGTTGTGTTGTTTGTTCTTACAAAGGTACCATGTTCTTTACGTTGTTCGTTGCGGTGGATGTTGAGATTTTTGTAGTATTTATTTGCTAATAGCTAATATATAGAAATATATGTTTTTATGGGGTATATAAATGGAACAGGCTACCAAATTTTATAAGAACTTGTACTGTTTATCGACCATTTAAATATAAATTAAAAAATTTTCTTTTATGTTTATCTTAATTAATTTTATTTAGTATACAATATTGTTTTATTATTTTTTCTTGTTTACACACATTTCTTTGATATTATATTTTGGTTTTATAATTTGGTTTTATATTTAAGGTAATTCTAATTTATTTAATTCATTTTATTTGAATTTCTTTCTTTTCGTAATAAAATTTTTTCTTTCTCGTTGCAACAAGTTTAATTTTACGCATATGTTTTTTAATTCTAAAATTTTGTAACAATACTAATTAGTTTTTAAAAATTGATACTGACGTTTGACAACATTAATGTGTTTTATTATTTTTTGTGGGGTTCCTTGTTATTTGAAATTTTGGTTTCTTTTGGAATCCTTTTTTATGTATTTTCATGAAATAAACTTGTTTAAAAAAAAATAAATATGTTAATGGACTCGGTTAGTCGTCAGCCCTTGAAACTGCCGACGTTAATTATGAAGTTGCAGAGTTGTCCATGTTAACAACATTAATTTAATTGTTTGTTTTTCGTTTTTTGATGTGTTGTGCTTTCTTCTTCTTTGGTGATGCACTGTTGTCGGCAAATGTTCTTGAGATGTTTTTTATTAATGCTTTCATGCAAATCCCTTGTATGCAATAAAATCTTTAGTGAAGTGCATGAAAATGACAATGTTATTGACTTAATTTATAAAAGGTGAAATTTTGTTTAGTCGGCTTTGCACTTTGAAATTGTTTTCATGAATAAATTTGAATTTATTGTAGCAATTGATGGCTATGAACCAAACGACGGGGCGGAACTAGACAATGCCGACAGTGCGGCAAAAATTTTGAAAAATTTAAAATATTAAAAATTTTACAAGGAGACCATTAATTACCAAAATTGTGTGACCAAAGTTACGCTGGTGACCTTATTTTTGCTTATTGTCCCATTTTATGGGGAATTTTCCTAATAAAACTGGCGGCGTTTTCGTATGTAAAAATAAGAACGCTTCTCACAACGGGGACCCCTTACATCCGCCTCTGACCAAATGTACCTCACACATACGATTCCATAATTTCATATATGCATATTTTATCAAATTGTCTGTGTTGCTTTTTTGCATCCGGCACGTTTCTAATAAAATCTTATTTGCAATTATAAACTCTAAACTTTTTTAAACTTTCAAAAACCGTGCAACACAATTTCAGTATTGTCCAAACGGCTACCTGACTGAACAGATCCTCAAAAAAATATACAGCAAGATGTTTCCTTTTGGAGGTTGGCTCACTGGTGTTCTTCCTATTTTCAAATTTAACTTTAAACTTTTTTTATATTTTTTTAAATAATTATTTAAAATAAATTATTTCTCAATGGTTTGTTTTGGTTTGTAAGTCGTTGTTAAAATATTTTGATTGTGATCTGTGCTTGTACATATAAAGCCATTGTTGACATAATCTAATAATATTTGCGTTTCTTTCACAGTTGTTTACATAAAAATCATTTTTTTCAATTTGTTTTATTTTTGACAACATAAACATAAAAAGCTAAATGGTATTGGCTGATAACTATTATGATTAACAAAGGAACGACGATTAATTGTAGGAAAAGGTAAATTTGAAATAATGATAATGAAATTAAGATTGCAGTCTGTTTGTCGGAGTGATCTTCCATATGCTGGATACCCACCAAGATGGACTGGTCACTTTTGAGGTTTAGTTTCATTTTGTTCAGTAACTTTTTTTGAGTAATTCACATCTATACATTTAAATAAAATAAAATAGATTTTTAAATTTTTATTTTTATTACAATCAAATCATAAAATAAGGACTTGTGAGTAAATTATATTATATAACATCTTCGTCGTCATCATCGTGATCATGATCATGATCATCGTCATTATCATGATCATCGTTATCATTATCATCACTTAAGTACTTTAAAAATAAGACTGGAAAAACCAGCTAACAATCCTTGAAATTTTCACACATAGTCTCATTGCGAATATAAAATATTGTGAATTAAAATTTTATTTTAAACCCATTTATAAAACCTCTTATTAAACAATAATGAAATAAAAAAAACATTAAACGTGAAGCAGTCCTCATGGCAACAAATCTAAAACAACAAAATATTAGTACAGCGGTGTTTTAAAACGGAGAAGAATTGAACTGATGGCGACGTACATGTTGGATGGATGATCGTCAGAGGTAAAAACAAATTGAAGATGCAAGCCTCAAAACTGATTAAAAAATACTGCAACAACATCCATCACAAAAAATTAAGAAAAGACAAACGATGAATCATAATAGATTAACGATAAAGTTGATGAATGGCCGCGATATGCCGGAGATCACCTGCCCCTCAACACTGTGTTGAATGACGGCAGACTTTTTTGAAAGTTTCTGATGGGTAATAATTTTCTTGCGAGCTGTGGTTCATACGCGCGTGGAAGCTTATTTAGATTTTTTTTGCAAACGAAATGTCAGTTTTACCACAAATTGTTCCATTCCAAGTATGAAACATGAAAAATAAGAACCATGATTTGCTAACAGTTTGTAATTATAAAATGTTCATTTTATGCAAAAGAATTGGATCAACAGTCAACACAGATCAGTTAAGAGCAAATTGCACAAACTGAAAGACTTCGGATCATGCACACAAATTCGTTGTAGGCTGCCGTGCTAGCCGGTCATCATTCTTCCCATCATGTGATCCTGTGATCATCATCCCAATAACTAACCATTCTTCAAACTTTTCGCTTTTTGAAACAAGCGGAATGCCTGCATATTTGATTTTTGTTCACTTGCTGCTGAAAGTTTTGAGAGTTTGACTTGTTGTTTGTAATTTTTAACCCAGCATATACGTATTTACAAGTGAACAAGAAACCACCAATCAGTATTAGTATCATATCATAGTATCATAATATCTTGATACTCTTATTGTTGTCACGTAATTTTCTAAATGGTATGTCATTTAAAGTAATTTACAGTTATTTGAGGGGTTCTTTGGCAGTTGAGACAAAAAAGTTTTATCTGTGGAAGATTTTACTACTATGTTTGGTGTCAACTTATCCCTTCGTGATGATTTGCAGTCTGTTCAGATCACCGCAATTAGACTTGTTACTGGTTATTCGAAATTCGATTCAATATCCCCATACATCAGGAATGATCTACGCTGGCTCCGCATGCCAGAAAGAATCGTTTTCAAACCAGCTTTTCCAGTCAGAGATTGTCTTGCTGGTGTCGTTCCAATTTATTTGAAAGAACAACTAATTAGTTTTAGAAATTGCAAATCGGAGTCGACTGAGATTCTCCGATAATGGTGATCTTTTTTAGTCTTTATTATTGCAGCTCTGACATACGCAGAACCACTTACAATGTTACAGATAGATTATTTAAATATCTTTCATTATGTTCTTTATAATTTCATCCTTTAATATTTGAAGCAGCCATCTTCGCCACAAAGGCTGTTTATCCTTTTCACACGACGTACACATGTATTTATGTGCACGCGCAAGCACCGCATCACATACGCTGAGTATATAATAGCCATTGAGATGTATGACTCAGCGAGCATTTGAACCACTGAGCCATCTCGCGGCCAACATGCGACAACTTACGTCGTCTCCCCATTTACCGACCTCGGAAGGAAGGACGGCTGGGTTGGCCGGGAGTCGGCTATCCGGATGAACCTGCAGAAACTACAGGATTTGAACCAGAGTCGTGGGAGTGGTAGACTGACACACACACACTCAGCCACGAGACACTTTGGCTTCCTAAATTCAATTTGTTTCGTTTTGGGAAAAGAAGATTTTTTGTTTCATCTGCAAAATCTGGAACTGACTACCTGTAGATTTGAAGGAATTCAACAAACGTTTCAAAAAACGTTGAAACATCATTTGTGTTGACATTTTCGAATGTAGCTAGCGCTTCTGAAGTTATACAATAGGACAACAGGGGCGCTCCATAAATCCTTGGATACAGATCTATAGATACTTTTTTAATTAATTTACGATGTTTGCCTGAAATGAAGCAACTGCCGTCTGCCGGTTAACAACTTCGTACAAGTCTGCACACGTGATTGGCGTGTAGAAATTTTTAAATAATCCATAAACAATAAAATATGCAAGTTCTCTGCGGCCAGTGTTCATTTAAACTTACAGACACAAAACACGCACATCATTCTAATAAAAACCTGGAAATTTGATAAAAGTTAATTAATGATGTTTATAACATCCATCAATGTTTTTCATTGGGCATAACAACTCAAGTATTTTTTCAAAGAATGATTGTCAGGATATAATAACTCATTTGTTGTTTTTTCCAAGAATCAGTGATGAAGATTTTCAATCAAACAAATGAGTTAATGGTTTATAATATTGATTGACAAAGAAGATTATATTTATAAATAACATTAACAAATTTCCACAAATAATTAAGATGTACTTTAGCAGAAGAATGTCCATGAGTTTCATGCTTCCTTCATATTCTTCGTTCATGCTCTGCTTATGTGATCGGAACTTAAATTTTTATTAAGCAGACGTGATCTGAATTGAAAAAATGAATTACTTTTGACTGCAAAATCTTGTAGTGTGCTCTGCTGTTTCAATATTTATAAAAAAAACTAAATCTATTTAAAAATAAATAATAACTAAATTAAAGTTAAAAAATGTCATTTGATATATTTAACAATAATAATATTAAACAACTTATTTGGGAATAAATGAAAAATTGAATCAAATTGAAATTATTCGTAATCAATTTTCAGCCATCCGACCATGACCAAAACCATCGAAGGAATATGGAGGTGGTAATTTAAACTTATGCTGACCCGTGCAAAAAATTTTTAAAAAACTTTGCTTATTTTGATTTTTAATAGCAATACAACAAACATGAATTAGATCCGCACGCACATTTGAAATAAATTTATTTCCTCTAGGAGGAGAATGAATTTTTGACTCACTGTACACATAGTGGTAGTGCTAGGGAACTTGTGCCGGGAGGAACTTTGCTGCTTAACTAAATTTTTTGCGACATTTTTTATGCTAATCCCACTTACTTTACTGTTTTGCAATTTTTCTAACATTCGTCTTATGTGAGCAACGTGGATGTCTTGAAGGTGGGAATTACAACGCTATCACTTTATTAGCATCGAACCAAACCCTGCCGGCCTAGACCTTTGTTGCAATTTTTTCTCAATTCGAATCTCAATGAATTTTCAACAATGCAAAGATCATGATTTTTGTGATGTTATATGTAATAGGCTTTTCATTTTGATTAAGAATACAAATGGATAAAGAATGACTATTTAAACGGAAATGAAAACTTATTAAATATTGTTCTATGGAACTTGATCTATCACAGCATAGAGTGAATTTGAAATAGATGTTATAATATCATAAAATTATCTTTTTAAGAATTTATGAGTTTCCTCGTTCCATGTGTTGATGGAATTTGAATGGGTCTCATGTCAGTCGTTTCAATTTGCGGCGCTCAATTCTTTGATGGGAATCGTCTGCTTCATTCATTCATTCGTTTGTTCGTTCGTTCGTTCATTCATTCATTTATTCATCCATTCATTCATCTATCCATGCATAAATGCATTCATCAAATTATCCATCAAAAGGTTCGACCATCCATCCATCCATCCATCCATACATCCATCCATCCGTCCATCCATCCATCCATCCATCCATCCATCCATCCATCCATCCATCCATCCATCCATCCATCCATCCATCCATCCATCCATCCATCCATCCATCCATCCATCCATCCATCCATCCATCCATCCATCCATCCATCCATCCATCCATCCATCCATCCATCCATCCATCCATCCATCCATCCATCCATCCATCCATCCATCCATCCATCCATCCATCCATCCATCCATCCATCCATCCATCCATCCATCCATCCATCTACCACGCGCCTGATAAGAACTTAAGGTTAGAAGCACCAACTCCTGCATACTGAACAGGTTATTAAGTATTAAGAAATGTTCCAATTTCCAATGCATGTCTGACTGCCATGCATTTCTATGCTCGCATGAATTGTTACGCGTGGATGGATGGATGGATGGATGGATGTATGGATGGATTGTAGTGCATGAATGGATGGATGGAAAAATGAATTGTATAAATGAATTGTAATGCGTGCAGTTTTAAGATTATTTATATTATTTTAAACTGCGAGTTATTATTTTCCGTAGAATGTTTATATTGTGACAATCATCTCAACTATTTTAGCGAACCGATGAAAATTTTTAAATCTTAGTCAGTTGAAAATTGAGCAAATACTTGAGTTACAGTTGAATAATTATCAATAAATCATATATTCTTCTAGAAAGAAATTCGACATTATATGAAAGTAGCTGCAAACACATTTTTAAACAACTGCAAAGATTGGTAAACTGCTGGCTGGTCTGTTCGTTCATCTCTAGTTTTTATAATTTGTTATGTAAAGTTTCATTGAATATCCAAGAACACACGCACACACACACACATACACACACACACACACACGCACACACACATGTGCGCACATACAAAAACACACATACACATTCTCTGGTAGCTAATGATTGCTTATAAACTAGTGAAACAAAGAAGATTGTTAAATAAAATCTTAACTTTTTGAAGAAAAAAATATTTCATCTTGTTTTTGAACATGCCACGAAAATGAATTTTCATTCCAAGCAGCATCTTCATTGTTCGATTTTTTAATCAATTTTTTTAAAATCTAAGCTTTTGAAAGCTTTTAAAATTTTTTACAAAACGTTTTTAGAGAATCTTGCATAACATTTTTGTTCGTTTTTATGAGTTTGTTATTTAATTGCATGTTGAATTGTTGTCCGTTCGTTTTGCACTACAGAGCATTTGTTATTTTTTACCATATTTCTATGATCTATTCACCAATTTGCCTTTCAAAGTATTACTAACCAAAAAATGAATCAGAATAAGTCAAATAAAAATTTTCAACATTTTCATGTCGGTTGGAGAACTGGACTTGGACAAAAAGTTATCAACTTGATCCTGAAAGTGCTCTCAACATATTTTTAGGCAGTCATTAAGTTATGAAGCAATGAAAATAATGAAGCCCTGCTGAAGAGATTGCATAATGATTACAGCAACAAAAAGTAATTGCAAGTAATTGCACATGCTGCCAGCCAAGGCCAACATGCCAACGTCTCGTGAACCTGACTGCTGTCATGTTTGCACCTCAGCTTGGGACCAAACGTCAAGCAAGAATTATCCGTAAAACACAGCTGCGTATGTTTATGTGAACTGTACAACTTGTGTGAATTGAACTGTACAACTTGTGTGCTGTGAACAGTACAACTTGTCACGTACATGCAGGTGTACACGTGTTTGTTCATCCACACGCAGCGGATACGTTTAATTTGTTGCATGTTGTTGTTTGTGGCTTTCGAACTTTTAAGATTCGCTTTTTGCAGTCATGTAATGTTTAGAAATCTATTTTTCATTTAATGAGCGGCAATTTTTTTTACCTTAACTGGAGAAATGCGAAAGATAAATGATTGAATTTTTTATTTCAACACAATATTCAGTAATAATTTGTTCAATTGACATTATAGAATCAACAGTTCTTTTCTGAAATTAAAAACCCAAAACGACGTATCATTTATTTGGTCAGGCTTTCCACATTCACTTTTTTCCTAATCACAGCTCGGTTCGAACTAACTTTTTACTCTAGTCTAAATTCTTTTTCCATGATTTTTAAACATTTAACGGCTTATTTTCTAATTATATAAGAAAATTTTGCAAAAACGAATTTTTATTTTGCAGAATAAGAAATTGAAATTGAAGTAATTTTTTAATATCGGTCTTTAAATTCATTAATTAAAAATATAATTTCTCAAGACCAGTTGTATCAGGATTTAAAAGATGAGGAAAAACGACACCGATGGAAACTGAAGGGGTGCCAGGCAGGACCGCGTACGATGTGGGTATAAGGTACAATGTGCCCGCCCATGCACGAATACTTAATTCACGTATATACTTCTTATTCATCAGCTATCAATACATTCGGCAATTACACGTTAATAATGTAGTTAAAAGAAATAGTTTTATACTGTTCACGTGTAATTGTTCATTTAAGTTAAAATTATTAACATTTATAGTCTCAAAAACTCTTCCCTTCCCAATAACATCTGGCTATTAAATAATGAAAAAATATAAATAACTCTAGCAACAATGGAATTTATGGACTGAAAAATATTGAAATATATTTTCAACCTCATCAGACAAAGCAAACAAATGTGGTTAATAAGATTCAATTATTCTGAAACGTTGCAAGCGCGCTGGAAGCATTGGACATCGTTCGGACGGGCAGAGGTCGTCGTCGTCCTAATACACAAATGCTTCCATGAGAATATTCAATTTGAATGCTTGTGTCTGTGCGTCTGTCTATGCGCCTGTGTATGCATCTGTGTCTGTGTATGCATCTGTGTGTCTGTAGTGTGTGCGTGTGTATGTTTATCTGTATAGCAACTTTTTCTTCCTTTCTCTTTCTCTCTCTGTGTTCTTCAGCTTGTTAATCAGCCTGGGTGACAGTAGGATGGAGGGGAAGGAGTGTAATGAAACATCTCATAAAATGAACAATTTTTCATAATATTGATTGAAAATTTCACTCTTTTATTGCTTGTGTGCACTCGCGTCATTCTCCACTGACGTTCTAACATACACACATAAAATATAAATAAAAATATATATAAACATATATTTATATATAATATAACTAATCAAAAAATATTCACACTTAGATGATATTAATAGATTGCACTCGGCAACGAAATTAAAAACCTCCGTATGCATTGAAACAACATTCAAGAAAACGACGCCGTCATACATTTCTATTTTTTCAAACTTGCGGAAGTGCACGCAACTACAAAAAAAAACAACTACTACTACAACAACTAATACAACAACAACTACTACTACAACAACAACTGCTACAAAAACTACAACAACAACTACTACAACAACTACATCAACAACGTTATTGATGTTGTTAACAACATCCAAAACATCAACAACACATTAACAATAACATCAACAAAATAATACAGATTGCCAAAACATCAACAACATCAGCAACTTGTCCAGCATTACAACCAGTTAAAATTGTTTTAAATTAGAATCATAAAATCAAATTTTAAGTTGATAGTAACTACACAAAAAAATGCAGTATGAAAGTAAAGAAAATTCAAAATTTGTGTGTTTTTATGCAATTCATGGTGTAATTTATATTTTTTGTTTGTTTGTTTGTTCGTTCGTTTGTTTGTTTGTTTGGCTTGATCGGTTTGTTTGTTTGTTACATTACACACATTATAACTACCCAGAATAATGAGGGTATAACTGACAAGCATCAGCAGAAATCTCATCAAAACATTCAATATCGTTATAAT